GGAGCAAATGAAGTGTTGAGCTGTTGGTCTTCGTATTCGACTCGTAGGTACATTAATTTGACCTTCTAATAACTACCCAGCAAACTTTGTGATGTTTTATAAAATTCGCAAACATTTTTCTACTGAAGCTCTGTGAGTCAAAAGTTGAAATTGAATTTCAGAGTTTAGTGTTCGCACTAGCGAGCAGAGCATATTTTTTATTTATGTTAAACTTGATTCATCAAATTTCAACAAATATCAAATGCAAAAATATATCAAATAAATTTCCGTTTCTTTTTTAACAATTTCCATTTTTTTTTTAAATTTATCAAAAATTGTCTTGTCTTTTTTAATAATTTTTTCCAAAACTTCCATAGATTTTTAAGGGGGTATTCTACTCTAGAATTTTTAAAAATTCGATTTTTTTTCATATATTTAAAGTTTGGACCCTTAAGAACATATCCTCCAAAGGATTTTTAAAAATTAATTTTATTTTAAGAGCTACAATTACTTTAGTGACGCAGTACCTAGCCCGGTTCGGCCGTATCGACTTTTTTAAACGCCTTTTTCTCGAAACTACCTTTTTCCACACGGTATCGGCATTATCTCATGTTCTATACAACTGATTYACTTGAAATTATGTGTGAACCTTCTTTATATAATCCTTTGTCGTTCCTACCAGCATCGTATCAAAATTTTTCTTTTTAATATTTAAAAAAAAAATAGGAATTTCAAAAAAAAGCGTAAAAAATTATTTTTATTTTCAAGCAGTCGCCATTTTTCCACAAAAAAAAATTTTTTTTTTCGTGTTCCCTGACTATAACAACATCTTTACTGATTAAAAATTTCTTTTGATTTTTTTTTTCAGACCACCAGGAGAGTCATTTTTTTTACACCTGTCTCCCCCCCTCTAATTATTTTAATTTTTAATATTTTTTTGTAAATTTTTTTTTGTATCAATAAAAACACCATAAAAAAAGGAGAGTAAAAATATTTTTTTTTTTTTGTTTTTTTTAATAAAGTTCAAAAACAAAATTTGATTTCTAGACTAGAATACCATACCCCCTTAACAGAAAACTAAATTTACAAGAGAGACTTATTAAAATTGTTGAGCTTTGAACTAGAAAAAAACATTTTTTTTTTTTTTTGTTTAACTTGAGCGTCTGTGCTTGTTGGGTTAGCACGACCGGTTTCACATGTCGCTTACAATGATCGAGCGCGTTGAGAGAGTGTACGCATAAGCTTGTAAGTGTGTGAGAGCGATCGGTCTTCGTTGCTTTGTTGGTACTGAGAAAAAGTAGTATAACCGTGACGGAAACCGGTAGAACATGCACGTGCTCGGGTTTAGCCGCAAAATCAGCATTTCATGGATCAGATAAACAGCGAAGGAGGTGGCGGTGACGGCGATTTTGGAAGTGGAGCGCAATTGAGAATTTTTGTTGTCGTGCAAATTTTTGTTTAATATGTTGTTTGTATGTGTGTATATACTGTATGTAATTGACTTTTTTCGTTTTAACGCAATTTTCAAGCTTCTGCAAGCATTATATAATATAATATATGATTTGGTTATACATATTTACGAATGCCCACAAAAAACGAGGAAGTTAATTAATTTGCTTGATTTAGCGTTTTTAAGATAAATTTTTTTTGATATTCTGGAAATTTCATAAATCATATATGTACATATGTGATGTATCAGCTGATAACGGTTAGCAGGTATATCTTATGCCAGTTTTGTATGGGTGAGCTCAAAAATTATTGAGTACATATATATAAAATCATATGTACATATATGAATGTATTATATAGCAAATTTGAATCCAACTAACATAAAATTCTATACAAGAACTTGATTTTGATCATTCCGTTTGTATGGCAGTTATCTGGTAAAGCAGTCCGATCTGAACAATTTTTTCGGAGATTGTAGCCTTACCTTGTGTCATAATACATACCAAATTCCATGAAGATATCTCGTCAAATAAAAAAAAGTTTCCTATAAGAACTTGATTTTGATTGTTCAGTTTGTATTGCAGCTATCTGCTATAGTGATCCGATCTATATAATTTCTTCGAAGTTTGTAGCGTTGATTTAAACAATAATCTTTGTTGAATTTCGTGAAGATATTTCGTCAAATAAAAAATTTTACATACAAGGTCTGAATTTTGAGAAGTCAGTTTGTATGGCAGTTATTTGGTAAGGTGGTCCAATCTGAACAATTTCTTTAAAGATTGTACCGTTACCATTGGTTATAATACATACCAAATTTCGTGAAGATAACTCGTCAAATAAAAAATTTTTCTCTACTAGAACTAGAACTTGATTTTGATCGTTCAGCTATAGCTACAGTGTTCCGATCTCAACAATTTGTTCAGAGATTGTGTTCGATGCTTATCTGAAATACTAGGATAACTTTTGGGTGTCAGCTCGATGATTTTTAAACAACGTCTGGTTAACTTTTTTGAAAATGTATTTAAATATTATAGACTAAATATTTTTATCTTAATTGTTTTGTTCCAAAAAAAGCAGACATTTATTGAGATGTAACCCAAAATTTAAGATTTAAAGCATATAATACATATTCTTAAAATTATTTGTACTTATATTCAAAAATATTTAATATTCACACTTTTCACACGAGTGTTTAGTTTGTATGCATGCGGCTGCGGCCGACATGGCGTATCATTAACGTCATACTTCCGCTTTTCCCAGCGCATTTATTCAATAAATATATGTATGTACTTGTGTGTTTTCCTCGCTGCTGTTTTTGGTAAACGTTCAGATTTGCACGTCACTCGCCACTCGATAAAATTGTATTGCAACACGCTGAGCGTTTTAGTTGCTTTTGCTTAAAATTGTTTGCATAAAATTTCTTTATAATATTTATTGCTCTTCTTTGTCTTTTCTTATTTATATTTCTTCCATATTTTTTATTTTTTTAGTTATTCTATTTTCACTGTTTTTATACTGCCATTTATAATCATACATTCTTATTTATATTTTACTATTTCTTTTGCATTTGTTTATTTCCTCTCTTCCATCCGCGTTCCCCAACCCGCTCCTTCCATCTGCAACACACAACAATTATAAATCGTTTGTTTTCTTAGTCTAGTGCAGCATTTTGCCTTTTGCCTTTTCTACAGCTTGCCAGTTTATTCGGTAAAAAGGAAAGGAACTATTTTGACGCTCATGGAAATTGCTGTGCAAAGTGTTTGTACGCGAAAGTTTTGTTTACAAATTTTAGTATATTTTTAATAGTTGATTTTTTTTGATGGCTACCAGAAATGCAACAAAGTAGAAGTAAAATTTCAGCCTTCTGCTTAAAAACAAGAAAACACGTTAACTACGGTAGCACCGAATCTTTCACAGGAGCATACCATAAAAGACATTGGTTTGAATTTGATCGGTCAGTTTTTATGGCAGCTATATGCTAGAGTAGCCCGAACTGAACAATATTTTCGGAGACTATATCGAATAATCTATTCCAAAGTCTTTTGAAAATATCTTGACTTATAAAAAGGTTGTTCATACAAGATCTTCATTTTGACCGAGTAGATTGTATGGCAGTTATATGTAATTAAATTATCCGACGAATGACCAACTTCTTCGAAAGGAAAGGAAGTGCGCAAAATTTCAGATCGATTTCCGACATCTGTTATATTGACATCGGAATCACTAGAGGTGAAAAAGTAAAATAGCAAAATTCTGTTGCTAACTAAATTCCAACAAAACTTTATTTAACAATAGAAAATCCTGTCATAATTACTTGACCTTATGCCATTTATCTATACATATGGCTCAAGCAAGTTGCGAATTCCGCACTTAGAGCAAGTATCCTCTGGCTAGCCAAAGAACATCCGTTTGAAGTGAGCTAAAGTGCCTGAGCTGTCCTCAGGGTTGAACGCTGCGTTTGGGACCCGGCACCTAATAAAACGCCCCCGAAAAGGCAACAACAGCCTCGGATAAGAGACACCGTCCTTGATGACGGCCATGGCATCACATTTAGGATTGAGATTTAAGGGCATGCACATGGAGTGTAGGGTCCTTTAATTGGAAAGGTGCCGCTGCCTAGCTGGTTAATGTCCTCGTAAAAGTAAAGACTGTTAAGACCGCCGTCCAAGAAGTGCGATGAATGCGACAAGGGGTGAAACAAGTGGGTCCTTGTGGCATTTACTACTACAGAGCACAAATTCGGTGCGAGATTCGTGGTGGGAGAAAGACTTAGTCGCCGAGTACTGTCATTCACCCCGGGGGATGAACGTCTAATCACAATCGGCATCAAAGCAAAGTTCTTGAACAAATAGCTGATTTGCGCCACCGCCCGACGAAAGAGGGTTACAATATGAGAGCTGGACCGCCACTATGTCAAAATCGTGCTTGGCTACTCTAACGCCAGGTTGAGCAAAGAAGATATTTTTGGCTCAACGGTCGGTAAATTCTGCCTACACGAGGAAACATCCCCACATGGGTTGAGGCTGATCGACTACGCTGGGTCCGAAATATGGTTATTTGTAGTACTAGATTCTAGCATAAGAAAATACATAGAGCTGTCTCCGGATCGAAAAACCACCAACCAGATCGATCACGTTGTGATAGATGGAAGACATGTCTCCAGTGTTTTAGAGGTGCGTACGCTCCGAGGTCCAGGCATTAACTCGCATCAATATCTGTTCGCAGCCAAGATACGCAACCGCCTATGTGCAGCAAAAAAGCGCACTTCAACAAACACAAGAAACGTGTAACTTCGAGAAGCTGGAATCACTAAGGTCGACTATAGATTTAGAAATATAATTTATAAAAGCTTGAAATTATACTTAATGTGTGAAGAAGTCTTTATGCAATGCTATCAAAATGGGATACTAGAACATGCCTCCGGGTTACTGCCTTTGTTATTCAAATGAAAATTAATTTATCAAAATATGACAGCCAGTAATTTTTATTGATATATTTTATTGTATTATCAATTTCTTACAAATATTATGTTTCAACATAAAAATAATAAACACCCCTTTTCTACTTTTCAGATTATCTCAACCACCCTGTAGCATTATTGGATTATGCTTTTTGAAGATCTAACATAAGCTTGAAAATATCATAATGTTGCATTTTTCTACACGTCGCCGTGGAGTATTTCTATCTCCATAAACATTTAATGTAAAAAACATTTACAAAAACAATTTGAAGTTGAAAAACGAAAATCGAAAAAAATTCAGCAAAACTAAACTAAAATTAAAGTAACAGAATTCGCAAATACTTCTAGTCAAATTGAAAAATAACACAAATTAACGTAGATTTAACAAAGTTCCAGAATAAAGCAGCGAGTAGAGTGCAGTGCGTACACCAAAGAAGAAGGTTCATAGCGTGAGAGAGAGAATAGAGTGGAAATTGAGATTCTGCGTGGAGCGAATAAGTGCAAACTATATTAATAATATAGTAGTTGTAAAAATAAAAAAGTATTTATCGTCGTTGGCAAACTTTCTAAGCGTGTATTTAGAAAAAAATGCCTTACAATCGTGACGCGTCTTCAGCTCAGGCTGATAAATTGAGCGGCATCGAAGAGGAGAGCGACCTGTACGAGGGATTTTCACCACACGTTGACACAGCAGAGATAAAAAGCTTGGATTTCTACAATCAAAAGCCCTCGACTGGTAAGTGTGTTCATATACTCCCTTACCTTTCTCAATTAAATTCACAAATATTCGTATGCTTTTCGGTTTTTTTTTCTAATTAAAATAAATATTTTTTATTAAAATAAATATGCAAAATATAGAATAGATTTTATAATTAAAATTTTTGATTCGTTTGAAATTTTTTGTATGTAACTTGATTAAGTATTGGGTACAACAACATCGTTGGATTAATTTTGGAATCGAAAATGTTGCCTCAAGCATTTGCGCCGCTTTGCAACATTCTATTTTTGTAATGAAATTATTAAATTTCATAACATTTTCAGATTTTTCAATTTTCTATAATATAAATATTGAGAATTGTAAATAAAATGCACAGATGCCACAGTTCATTCAAAAAGCAAAAATACAAACATATTTCCGAATATTTCATAATTTCAATATTCACATTATATTGTGATTATCTATATAGCTTTCCGAGCATTATGTGTATATACAGAGTTCACTGTTTGTAATTAAAAGAATACTTGAAATAAATTATTTTTTCGATTTACCATGTTTTAAGAAATGTTTCTATTCTACAGTGGGGTCAAACTGTGTAAACAAAGCCAATTTTTATGATTTTTTTTTAGAAGAAATGGTCAAATAATTATTCGTTTTAACCAATAGTACCTTATAGTGTGATATTTGACGCTTATTATATTACATTTTCATGGAAAAATATTATAAAATACGGCAGCGGCAGTTATAACTCTGTAGCGTCGCGGAAAAAATTTTAATTGCGGTGCTGATTGCGGTGTAACTTGTTGCTGGATCATCCGAAATCAAAAAATCAAAATAGTCGCCGCATCTTTTCTTAGAACTTTGACCATTTTACTCCTGTCCCTCAGCTTGTCAAGCTCTTCTTTCTCACGCATTTCGACCTCTCTCTGTTTTTTTTTGCCAATGAGTCTCGCTTACCTCTTCAATTCTGGGTACCTATCCCATTCCGCATATGTTGTGGTCAACTGGAACGTTGCGAGGTAGTCAGTCTGTTTCTCTATACAGCTGTTGCTTTTTTTCGTTAAGGAGATTGAAATTCAGTTCCACAGTTCCCTTATATCGAATTGCTAATGAGTGCTCTTAAAGGGCAGAAGTGCAAGTCCGGTAGAAAATCGTTCAGCTGGCTGTTGTGTTTGAAGCTTCTCGCAATCGAAACTTTCTTGCGTTTTTTGACGTCAGTTTTTTGTTGCATCTTGGCTACAACAAGATAGAGTCAGTGCTAGTATCAGGGAGTGTACTCACGTCTAAAATACTCGAAACGTTTCCGTCTTTTAAAACATGATCGATCTTTTAAATCCGGCGTCTGCAAGGCAGCTTGATGTATTTTATTATGCTGAAATCTAATACTACAGATAACCATATTTCGGTCTCTGGCCTCAACCCATTTCGAGATGTTTCATCGTGGAGGCTGAATTGACGCACCATTATGTGAAAGATACCTTCATTACCCAACCGGGCGTTAAAGTCGCCAGTCACCTTTTTGACATTGTGGCGGGGCCAACTCTTATAGGTGTGCTCCAAGAATACATCTTTAGTCCTTTGGATAGACGTTCACTCACGGATGTGAATGCCAGGACTTGGCGACAGAGTCTCTTTCCCTAAACGAATCCCACAGCCTACTCTAACGAGGACATAAACCAGCTTGGATCTTTCCAATTAAGGGACCGGACATTGCAGTTGCATGCTCTTAAATCGTAAACCTTAATCCGTTTGTAGTGGTCGTCATCAAAAGGGGAGTAATTCATCTGACACTCTTGTGTTCCTTTCATTGGGGTGTCTTTTACGTGGCAGGTGCCAAAGGTAGCGCGTAATCCTGGGGAGGGATCACTCGCCTTCTCACTTTTAAAGGATGTTTTTTTGGCAACACCGACGATACTTGATCTAAGGGCGGACGTCGGGAGCTGCTTGAGCCATATTTAAAAGAATCGTTTCTGGTCACTCCCAAGTGAATGGTGCCTAGACAATTTTATTCACTTGCGTGAATTTCTACACATGACTCCATCCGGAAGTTACCACTTGTATTTATGAGATTTGATAATAACTGTATAAGGTGGTCGAAGTCTAAGTCGAAGTTAAATGGATGCAAGAAGTGCAAATTGTTTAGATTCAAGTAATACCAGTTACACGAGTATGTAAGTAGACCTTCTCGAAGAGATGCAGATTTTTAACTTCGTTGGAAGGGCATGAAAAATCAATATTAACAGAGTTCATAAAGAGTTTATTAATAACGAAAATTAAAGCAAAGTAAAAAAGTGAAACAAATTTGTGAAAAATTTCAATATTTTACCCATTTCAAGTGAGCACTGCTATTATTACGCACAAAACTGTATATATTCAAAAGGAATAGGCAAAATTGAAAAAAGCGAAGTGGAAATGTGGAACACTCCGGCCGGCTGTAGTCCACGTGATGGGAAGGTCGTGCTGAATATTAAAAATTTTATGGAAGGTTATATTGAAAAGCCTTGTACAGATATACTCATACATGTTACATTTTATAGAATAAAAAATGTGTACATCTGTATTCTTCTATACCATAAATATTTGCACTTAAGATTTCTGCCTATGATGGCTCGGATTATCGCGTGAATATTATTGTAAACAGTAGCGTTTTTTATGGTTTGAAACATTAAAGAGAGGCAGAGGTTGTGGAGGCGGTGCATGGAGTGTTTTAAATGGATGTGGTGATGGATACTTTTTTGAAAGAACGGAAAATTTTATATTAAAAACAAAATTCACATGATCATATTTTTTGTTTACATATGTTTATTATACCCTGAAAAGGATATATTAAGTTTGCCACGAAGTTCGTAACAGCAGGAGGAAACGTTGGAGATTCCCTAATATTATATATATGTATGTAAGTCATACTTAAGTGATCAGCATGCCGAGCTGAGTAGATTTAGCCATGTCCGTCTATCTGGTCGTTCCGCTGTTTGTTTATTCTTTAGTTTTTCAGATATGAATCGTATCATTTTCACTCTAAGAAGCTGCTCATTTGTCGGAACTTCCAATATCAGAACACAGTAATATATAGAGTATGATGTATTTTGGGTTTTCACCTTTTTTTTTAAAGAAAATACAAAGAATTAAAATTAAATTTAATGGGAGATTTGGTATTTACTTTTTGAAGATTATCTCTTTCAAATGTTGGCCACGACTACGTCTCATATTGTGTTGTGTTCAATTTTGGATAACTCTTTCGAGCATTTCGACTGGTTACGAATCGAAGCGGGATCGTTCGCATATACTTTAGCATTTAAATATCCCCACAAGAAAAAGTCTAATGGCGTGATATCACACGATCTTGGTGGCAAATCGAACTTCCCAAAACGTGAAATTATCTGCTCACTGAAGTGTTCTGTCAATAAATAAATCTATTGATTCATGCGATGTGTGGGAGTTGGCGCCATGTTGTTGAAACCAATTGTCTCTGAGATCCTGAGCTTTAATTTCTGGCATCAAATAGTCTGTTAACATGGCGCGAACACGGTCGTTACGTGACGGTTACGTTCATTGAGTCAGAAATTAGCTTCATAGCTGAACAAAATTTGACTCGAAAACGTCGGATCTCTTGGAAATTTTCAAGAACCTATAGAGAGAAGCGATGTCGCTTGGGAAGCGATGTCGAGCGGCTTGAGCTCGTATTTTGATCACTTTCAATTTAAGATCTCGATGTGAAATGCGCCAAGTCTTTCCATACCTCAGTCCCAGTTGCTGCGAACGGCGTCGAATCGACTCTCCACCGTTTTCGTGTACACTCTCAGACAGTGCCGGTTTTAACACTACCAGCGAGATTTCTACGGCGCCCTCCAACTGCAATTCAAACCCATTCGAAAAAAGGGAAAGCATTTAATGAAATAACCGTTTATTAAAAGAAATAATTATTTATTATAAAAAATAACCATTTAATACAAAGACACTAATAAAATTTTGCTTTTCTGGCCTTTCTATCAGCGAACTCCTTTATAAGGTTGTCAAAGTCGATGTTTTCATCAATTTCGTTTTCAATTGACAAAGTTGCTAAGTTTGTAAATCTAGATTGGGAAATTGTTGATCGAAGATAGGTTTTTATCAGCATCAGCTTTGAAAGGCTATGCTCCTCACTAGCAAGCATTACAGGTTTAGTTAATAATATTCGCAATGATATCTATACAGTTGGATACAGTTCTGTAAGTTGCAATCTTTGATGAAATTAAAAACAAAAATGGGAGTAACCACATTTTGATCAGGCAAAAAGGATGTCAAGCTTACAAGTCCATCACACAACATACAACCATCTATGTCTGATTTAGATTCTACAGTTAATTCTAATTGGAGATCACTACAGAGCTTGACAAGCTCGGGTTTTTCTGGAATCTGTTTAATATTTTACAAAAAAGACCAAGATTCAGAGTACTCATTTAACTGTTCGAACCTTTCATTAACTGAAATTAATGTAGTGTCCAAAAGATAGTTGAAAAATTCAACATCAAATTTTTTTTCGGGAGAAGTTATAGGGTAATCGCGTGCAATTTCACTAGCTTGATGCTTAACACGGCGAATTCTTGTTACAGATTCAATTTCCAGTTCTTCGGCCAACTCCTTCGCAGCAGTTGAAATAGCGCTTTTAAAGCCTGTATTTCTGTAGTCTTCCAAGAAATTGCAGCATTTTTTCAACATTTCTGTACATTTACCAAAAACCATATCTGTTAACTGTAGAGATTTACTTACAATATTTATTTGATAAAGTATGTCATACCAAACAAGCAATGCAACTATGAAGCTGAAATCTTTTAGCTGTTCGGCCAGAGTAGTAGCGTCATGAGGCACTTGAACATCAGTTTTCTGACTTTCAAGAGCCAAAGTTATCAAAGCATCATGGATAGTACTAATTTGATAACGCACTGCTTTAACACTACTTATTCTTGCTTCCCAACGTGTGTCACTGAGCTTTTTTATAGTATATAGTGCCAAGTGATCGGTTAGAATTTTCCATCGAT